CAGCTGAGGTAAATCCTCTTGTGATAGATAGTAATCGAGATAATACCATATGTTGCACTTAGGGGACTATTTGACGAAAGGGATTAAAACATCACTGTTTTCCTAATTAGTTCTGGTACCAACATGGAGTAATAAATTGTTCCCCCAGATTTTACCATACAAGGCAACACTTGCAAACTTGTCAACATACGAACACACACGCACACACACACGCACAAATATATATATATATATATATATATATATGCATGCACACATTCCAAGGACATTGAAAATTTCGCCCCACCCCTTCTGTTTCACTCTTTTGCTCGAAGAGAGGAGACATTTTATCAGATATGCCAAACCGAAATAGGTCCCTCACCACCATCACCACCACCAAACATGCGCTCAGCCAACTCTCATAGTAGCAGCACGCCTGTACCTAGCGTAGACAAAAGAGGGACTTTCCACTCCTCCTCCTGCATCCCCCCCCCCCCCCNCCCCCGTCAAACTGGGAGCTTGTTTTTTGCCTAAAAGGGGGGGGGGGGAGGGAATGATATTGGACATATCACTTGTATTGCATCTACTCACCCATGTAGACAACGAAGGGAGAACGAAGTAGAAATTTGTTCCAAATAGAGCACCAAAGAATATTTTGTTTTCTGCCCCCTTAGCTAAACACAGAATAAGCAGAAGTCTGGGGTGTGTGTATGTGATGTTTGTGTTTTTTAAAATCATGTTAATCTCTCTTTACCTCACTCACTCACTCTCCCTCTCTCTCCCCCTCAACTCCGTTTTGTTAGGAGACAGTTTAAACTGCTACGTTGTGATTAAAATTAACGGGAACTTATTCTTCTGGTTACGCGACTGTGATTGCCAAGAGCTAAGTTTTAAGTACTTAATCAGAAGTAGTTTAAGTTTAAAGTGCTGCGATTCTTTGAGTTGTCGAATTCCTACATTGGAAATCCAACAAAAGTTTGGTATTTATTTGTTTGCCAAATCAAACAGAAGGCACTGGAATAGAGGGGGGGGGAGGGGGGAGGGAGGGAGGGAGGAGAAAAGGATGCCAAGTAAAAATTTATGAAGACAATATAATTGGGATGACATTCACACTCTATGAAGCTGTAAATAAGGTCGAATTTGGGTTTAAATTCATAATCGCGTTTATGTTATTGCACACTTCATAAATTACGAAATCTTGCAAGGTGGGTGGTGACACCGGCCGCCTTCTTTCGAATAATCGAGTGGAGTGTTGGCATCACTGAGAGGCATTAATATTCCCGCAACAACGGGAATTAGCTGGTTTTTGAAAGTATTCGAAATTAACTACAAATTTTGATGAAAAGACCGCACAGTGTTTTAATTAAATTGGTAACAGCTTGGAAGGAGAGACGGTATCTTGGAGTGGCCATTCATGAGAAACTCAAGCCAGTGCGATGGCTATCCGCTCCACTAAATGTCCGGAAAGAGATGTCGATTTTACCAACCTTTAGTGTTTAAGCAACATACGCTAACCATCTGTTCAATTGTCTTTTCAATGATCAGCATCGCATTCCAAAATTCTCAAACCAGAATTCTGTCACTCGATTATGTCTATCAAATACAGGTCAATCAGTGCTCCAATCACTGGAGAAAGCAATCTTCAAGGCACTACAGGGTGTTAGGTATAAATTTTGCATAACAGTATTTGGCTGTTTCCTCTAGATAAGTTAAAGGTTTTCACACGCACTACACGACTTGAAAATTCCAATCTCCTCCTTCATTCATATGCATGCAAACCAAGACGAATGGATGATCGAAACCCAACTTAATAATGCGAGGGAATAGATTGCAACTTGGTAATTCTTGCACACCATCGTGAAACAAGGTGACTATGGTTGCTTTCAAATGTTTATACAATACTGTAGGATTGTGGGTAATGTGCAAAATCATATTTCCGGTTCCGTGGTCCTGAACGGCAGTGGCACTAATTGATGTTATTTTAAGTAAAATGCTTTCCCAATATTGTAACCCCTTGTCAACTGCATTGTTTTTCAGTCCATTCAAATCTACTACCAGCTACTTGTCTTTTGTTGATAAGACCACCAAATTCGTCTTGAACAACATCTAGAGCCAACACTGTATTCAGGCGCCAAATTAGATTTATTACTTAACAACTTCGCATGATCTGGAATCAGTCAAGTTAAAGTATCTTTCACGTACTCAAAGATACCGTAGAAATGATGGGTATACTCTTTGGCTATGGCCAAATTAGTAATTGTGACCTTCTTTAAATAAGCTTACTTATAAAATTGCAATGGCCAATTACCATTCAAATAATCAAAAAATGCATTCTTCAAAGTGTACCATTTACTGTTTGATTTACCACTTGACTGCTAATGGTATATTTTTTCCCCAATAAACCATGTTTTAGATAATTCATCTTGAAACAATGATTTAAAAGAAGCCTTTAATATTTTTTTGAATAAATAGGGTAAATTCAGTGATACTAAGACGTTTAAAATGGCTTTTCCTTAAAGTGTGTTTATATAGCAAGAATTAAAATTAAAATCTCGAATGCTTTCAATTTGCTGACTAAAATTGTGTGTCAATAAATAAGAAATCCCTCGCAAAAGGTGGGAGAATTCATTTCGACTCTACTTAATGACGATTCTTCAATGGGGTTTACACACTGCTTGTAACTCAAATTATAATTTCTCGAAAGATCTATTTTGAAGGATGAACTTCTAAATATTTTTGCGTGCAGAACAGAAATTCTTCTTCGTTGACGACGATTTTCATTCTATTTTTTGGTTTATTTCCATTCAAAAGTGTTTCGCATCGAAATCAGCATGAAAGATGAAAATACGTGAATGCAGATAAACAAAATGATAAGGAGTGTGTCACAAGCTTCGTTTTCCGCAGTGACTGTTTGGGGAAATTGAAATTTAACAGTTAATTTGTATCTTACGTTTCATGATTCATTATAGATAAATAAATAAATCGCAACTTTTAAATGATAAATAAATATTCTTTCACTTTGGGGGAGGGGGAGGTGGTTAAAGACTCCAACATCCAAATACTTCTCAAAATTCATTGTTATTTTAAGTTCATTTGCGGACTACTATCGCAATAAATTTGCTACAATCAAATTTCAGTCAGTCTACTCGAATTCCTCTTTGACCTAAGGCAGCTCTCCTAAGTGATGAGTTAATGCAAACAGAATTGGAATTAAGATACTTCCTTCAGGTCGATAAAATTTTGCCCTCCTTCAGTAACAGTGAGTCTCCTAGTGATAATACGCTTTTTATTGTTGTCAATGCCTCAGAGATAAACTGTGGTGATGTTAGATGCTCATAGATCACAGGGACAGATCTGACCCTAAACTATGACTCATTTACTGGACGGAGGTGCATACGTGCTTTTTCCCTTCTTCCACCTCTTAGCCTCCCTCCCTCTCGGTAATTACCGTCGAGAAGATGGATTGACCAGGTGCAGTATGAGTCCCTCAGTCCACCAGCTCTCCACACACTATAAAACCTAACCCAGGTATTTAGGTTGGCACGTGCACATCTGTTGCAATAACGATTAGAACGAAGTGAGGATGTTGGGCGAGAGAGGAGGGGGGGTGAGGGGAGGTAACTCTACCTCATCCAGAATCGCTATTGTCCTCACTCCTACCTTAGCAACAGCGGAAAAGCATGAGTCCTCCTCCTAAGTACCATAGGACTGATCTGCCCGCATATTTAGTACCCCAAACTAAATTTCGTCATGCTTTCCCTAAAAATGGTATCAATTATTAGTGGAAAGTGCGCTTGACTTCCCATGTTTTAATATTTATAGTAAATTTAATGTTTGATAAATCTAGCTAAGTGGTCAGTCAGATATGCTTACTTTGTGTAGATGGTATAAAAATGGTAGTTCCCGTTTCCTTTCACTAACCGAAAAAAAACTAACAGGATGATTTGAGGTTGAATGAAACTTTTCATTTGCTTTTAGATTATTGAGCACATCCGATAATTTCAAATAATGCCTTCCAACCATTTTGTCAAATTTCAGTGGATGTTTACGGCAATAACAAAATCATATTTAGTTTAAAAAGTAATCTCTTACAGTTTTAATAGTTCGAGAGATTGAGCAAAGGTAAGGAGTGAATTACATGGTACAACTGCTCAGGACTGTCGCAATGCAATCCCAAAATGGAGAGTATATATAACCATCAACCACCTAGTTGAGAAACCGCCATTCAACTACTCTATGGCTGGTCATTCGCATTACTAGACGATACCTTTCCCTTTCATTACTTCAACACGCAACATTGGCACACACTGCTGGATATGATGAGGGCACTGCTATTCTCAAATAAAATAGGTTCCCCACCAGCAGACTAGTAGGAATAGAAATGAGCCGGATTTCGATAAAGAGATAAAGTGGAAGTGGAGATAAGAATAAGGAAAGTTGACGATTCATATTTCATCAAAGCTACGTTATTATCGAATTACTTACATTTTAAGTTATCTGCTCCAAGCATATCTCAACTTGTCTATATCTTCGCTGCGCAATGTTTCGGAAGATGACACAGTCCAGCTCTTTTGCACGTACCTGTAGATATTCAGGTTAGTATAATGTTACAGCCTTTTTGAAAAGATACTCTTCTAATCAAATTAATTGCGAAGCAAATCAGATTAGTTGAACAACTTGAAAGAGCAAATACCAACTAAATGAGGCCGTTTTTAATCCAAAATTATAATCCCTGCATTTTATTCATGGTAAGATTGGAACAAGTAAAGTGCAAAAATTTTCAATTTCAGTGAAACTTTTATTTCGAAATTGATGAAAGCGCGCCCTTACTGAAGAAAGCCTGAGCAAGTACATACAAATCGCGCTGTCCCGTACTATCCAATCAGAGAACTGGGAGGAGGCGCGATGGGCAAAAACTACCAATGAATGCTCTTGGCGAACTTCTAAACGTTGGACGCGTGTGTGCTGCACACGCCACCTTAAACCTAATCACTTATATAAAGCACGCTCTGAAAGGAAGCATGTCTTCAGAAAATTTGGTTTCCAACAGTGCAAGCAATCCGTTTGAGCCGAATCTATGTAAGAATCACCAACCAAATATGCCATTCTACATCGACTTTCAAGACTTCAACGCATTTCGAGACGGAAACACTGAAAATAACCAAGTTCCGAGACAGTTTAGCCAGAATAACCCCCTCATTAAACCTCCGACTACAGATGGGCTCTCACATAGATGGAGTCAGGGTGATCATCCTGCGTTGAAGTACACTCCAAGAGAGAATTCTCCATCCACTTCTGAAATTCCAATCTATCAGCAATACTGGAGGGCACATACTCATCGTACTCAAGACCCTATGAATATTCCAGAATCACTGAGTTCAAACGCAACCCGAATGTTGCATATTCGGACACCGATAAGAGATGATGAGTTGGGAGAGGATGGGATTGAGAATACGGAAGAGGGAGAGTATGGATCAATAAGTGGAGCATCGTCGTCTGATCGATGTGGAGTGGGCGTCTACTCACAAAATAGCATCCAAAATGATCCTTTTCACCATGTTTACAATGATAATTCATCTCCGAGTGCTGAATCAATTGGAATTCGCCATTATTGTGAGAAACCAAGGAACATGACATATGACTCTCAAATGAAAAGTGAACAAGTAAGTACCACTTTCCATACGATATCTTATATAATTATCTGTACCATCAGTATTACACACCAAAAAATGTTTTATAAATTTAAATTGCGATAAGCAACTGAAATCAGTTAAAAGAGAACACAAGAAATGTTGACGGGCATGGATTCATAAAAAACACACAGAGTGTAACGCCAAATAACTACGTACTACCTTATTTTACTCGAATTTTGAACTCGTCTTGATTATTAACACGAGAATTTTAATCAATAAGGTTCCTTCTTTCAGATTCGTATGGTTTTTTTTCTTTGAGTGGTTGAGGAGACGAAATTGTCTTACAAAATTTCAGCAACTAACTTGTTTTTTTTACAAGACATTAATTGTATCTTCCCTTCTGGGTCACAACGAGTTGTTTAAATGCACCCATTAAGTTCACGATCTGTAGGTCTTTCCGCAAACGAAGAAATCCAATGGGTAAAATAGACAAAATTGAAAGCAGCAGCTCATGTATAGGCGTCTTCAAACTTCCCTTTTATAAGCAAATATATTCACTATTATAAAAGTGAAATGCCATGTCTTTTCCTTCACATTTGAATGTTTTCTCCGTAATTAAATGTTGTTCAAATTTTGCATAACGAACACAAAATTGAGTGATATTGGCGTTATCGGCACTTTGTTGGCATCAAATGAGTAGTTAATTGGGAAATTGAGCCTTTGTTTCTGTCATAATACACATTTCATTGATGTAAAATATAGATCCTGGTAACCAGGACCTAAGCTAAGAGCAAGGTAGTTAATAAAGTTTATTGGAAAATATTTTTCCATTTAATTTTGGACTAGAAGACTAATTCTTTTACTAAATTGGTAATTTTAATTTTAATTTATGCAATTATTATGTCAATAACACTTTTTTGTTGAATTACTCCATGTCGAAAGTGAGTGATGCAGAAGAGTATAATTTAGCGCAAAAGTTAGCAATAATTGAGGCACATTAGAATTCATTTCAAATTTAAATATGCGCTGATAATAATTGCTTTAACTGAAGATAAAATTTAACGGTTCACAAGTGAAATCATTGCTCAAAATAATTACAAATATATTGGTGTCTATGCAAGTAACATCTTAGTAATTTGGGAGACAATGTGATATCGCGTAATATCAGATCTTAAATATTCGCATGGCTGTTGGGTGAATGAGGTATAATTTTATTGGAATTCAGTTCCAAAACCACGAATGTGATATCTCTATTGACTTCTATTATTTCGCTGACTTTTCTCTAATAAATTACTAGAAATCGTTCACTTGTTTTATGACGTCACCATAGAGCATTTATAGTTAACATGTTTTAATTATCACACAATAACTTTTCATAATTATGCATTGTTGAAAAACAACATTGATTGGTTAACCAAAAAATGAAATAATCGATATCGACAGGGACCGAAAATACGTTGAGATCAAAATCAGGGTATCAACACGTCATATTTAATTTTGATCTTAAAATCGGTTGCATAGTATTTAATATATTAGCGATTTATGTTTCGAAATACTCATTATTGATTTGTCTTCCTGACTGCTTATAGAAATCATTGAACATTAATAGCATTGTCTATTGATCAATTTTGTAAGTATATTGATCGGTCCTGATATTTCCTCTTCTCCTTAGGTCTCAGGATTGAAAATTAGAATAATCTTTCATGTTACTGAGCGACTTATCTAATTCGGGAACAGCAGGATGGCAATGGCTCCAACTTTTCACTTATGTAGCTAGTTAGTATGGAAAGTAAATTTATCGGGGCATAATTGATAATGCAGATTAAATTTGATAAAACCTTACTAAAACAACTGCTTTAGCCACTACTGAGCAAGCATTGTTTCATTTTTCACTGTAAAATTAAATTCGATCGATGGATGGATGGGAATAAAGCATTATTGTATTTTGGGGGACAGAATCGCGATTTAAAATCTCCAACGCTAGAAACTGCGCAGTTGTGAGCTGTGGAAAGGTCTTTAATTTATCCGCAGGTGATTTGGCTTCCACCTTTTGGTCATTCCTTCAACACCCATACTAGCTTACATGCTGATCACCATTTAGGCATAAATTAATTTTTGAATAATCTCATAAGTTTATTTATCCATATCTCTTTTTTTGTTTTTTTGAATCATAGAACGCTTAAGTAATTAACCAATAATAGACCGTCTCACATGTAAAGTTTCGAAGTCAGCGAATTATCGCGGACTGAATTACATTCTTCCCCATGCTTGCAATATCATTTTCATTATATGTCCTGACAGATCAATAATGACATACCATTAATCTCATATTTTGTGTCTGCATGTTACCATATATATATTCTAACAGATGAAATTTCACTATAAAATTACGTCATGACTGCAAATATCCCTTTGTGGGTGTAGTTGCCACCCGATGTTTATTGGCCTCAATGACTTTACTCCATTCCCTACTCTAAGAACCTCATCTGTATGAAGGTATATCTGTGACTGCCTCTTCGCTTGCTCCATACTTCCGTGTGCTATCTTATGAATTAAAATTCGTCTTGAATTATACTCATTTATTTGGGGACTGTGATGATTCCCAAACAATCACTACTAACAACCATAGCGTGTCTGCTTTCAATCAAAACACCAACCCCCCGTGATTTGCCATTACTCATTTTAATGTCACTATCTGCTTTTTTAATTTCTTCTATTGCAATTTGGCAATTTTCAATTTCACAAATAATCAGATTCTCAAGTGATATAATTTAATCGGAACGTGTAATGCCCTGTAATTTATGCAACACCCTTCGCACTATTTTTGCAAGAGCTAAATAGCACGTGGCAAAACTTTTGAAAAATTGAAGTCTTGCGAACAGGGTAAATCTCAGAGGATGGAAGTGGCTACCAAAGTTTTCGGAGCATCGCTCAAAATCCTAGGTCTCCAAAGTAGTTCTAGCATAACTTCCATCTTCTGAAGGCGATTGTGGAACAAAGAAAATTCTGCATGTAGTTTGAACAAATAATTATTGAAAACTAGCATTGGCTCAAGTCAAAACTAAATTTCAGCTCTTTAAGAGGCTTTCCTGGGTTTTTCTGTAAAGTAGATTCATAATCTCTATTTTACAGAGCAACTGCTACTTTTCTTGAGAAATTTAAAAGATAAGATGTTTCCATGTTAAAGACAAAAAACTTAAAACTGATAACGCCTTTTTTATTTTTGCCGAAATACAAAATTGAATTTTAATGATTCGGGGGGGGGGGTTCTTTATTGTTGTTTGAATATTATGAGGTGGAGAGCAATTCGAATAGCTTTCTCATTAAAATCCGATTGGAATTGGCGAGGAAAGTGGTGAGTGAATCAATTATTATTTCCACTCGAAAGCCTCTCTCTCTCTCTCTTGCTACTTCAAACTGCCACAACCTTCGCCCCCAAGGCAGGGCAAAGGGAGAAGGAGATAAGTAATGGGGCAGTTGGAGGGCATTGTCAGTTGCCCGGCCATTCGTCTTATCTGATGTACACGTCCTTCGTTCTCCTTTCCTACCTACCTACCTACCTTGCCATCTACCGGGGTCTTTCGCTTTCTTGCTCACCATTTCGTCCTCACTCGCCTTAACTGCGCAGTTGAGCCGAATCTCTCATCAACTCTCTCTCTCTCCCTCCCAATGTCATATTTGACCCTAAATATCCTCCCCTTCTTCCTGCTTCTCTTGTGCACTCGCAGGACTTTGTGCAGTACATCTTAATTTAAGTGCTCTGAATCATAGAATTCTAGATTTTACATTAACAATTGAACATTGAGATTAGATAGTAATGTGCAATAAAGCTCATACATTTCTTCCCCACCATCCACTGAGTGCCCGGAATTGTCAGTTCATTTATTTACTAGGAAGGTGTTTCTCGTTATTACTCTGACAGAATTTTTTTCTAATTAAACGTTTATCAATGTCATACTTTGCAAATTAAAAACATTTATAATTATGCTGAATACGAATATCTTCAACACCTTATCGTTGTTTTATGGCTTTGATCATTAAATCAACGCGTGATAGGGATAATACAGTTAATTTATAATATTACTCACGTCACTCTCGAAGTAACTTTTATCTCGTTAAAATTCCAGAGACTTACAAATGCTTGCAATGCATTTTCTGTCGGTTGCTTGCCTCTCAAACCTACCACAGAAGGTGTTTTTAGAAGTACTTGGCTTAGGTTGGAGGGTGGGGTGGGGGATACCTGCATTCTACCATCCTTCTGGTTGGACTGTAGAAGGGTAATCATAACTCCTACAACCACTGAGCTGGCACAGTGAGTTATGCCTCGAAGTTCATAGTGAGTACTTTTAGCACTTGCTGGGAATTGTCGAATGTTCGGTATACTCTTACTCCTAATATTATGCATTTACGGCTTTTAGAAAAGAGATATAATCGCATTATACATTTCTGTGTTCACATTGGACCTCTTTTATATTGGCAACTCGGCATAACTTCAGTCAGAGAAGTAATAAAATACCTAACTAAAACAATAACAGTTGTGGCATACAAGCAGAGACACATTCGATGAACAAATCTTAACCTCATTGTTAATACGATTAGGACTCAAATATGCGAGACTTCGGATATTCCACACAGGATATTTTATGCAAATTAAATTTAACTGTGAGTTCGAGCTACAATTTACGCTTCCTTGCTCGCTCATCTGAGAAATGAATTTCTGTTTGTGAGGAGTTTTCAAAACAATTTTGAACCATTGAAAGGGTAGACATGGTCTCTAATATGGCCGCATGGTTGCAGATTTCTTCCCCTCACCTCTCACTTTCTCCATGACAGTTAATATTTACAAATGCCCAAGTTTTAAAGAACTGATGGTTTTGCCAGGCCATTTACATTTTCGTTTTAATTTAGCAAAGCTCACAAAGATGAGTGATAATTGATAGGAGAGTTGTTTTTTTGTAATTTACACAATGTTGATTGTGGAGTAAACAGGTTTTGTCTAACATAACGCTTTATTCACATTTAGATGTCACTTTCAAAGCCTGAAGTGGGTAATGTAGAAACGTTCCCACCTCAGAATGGAATTTTCCATGGCAGTTCGACTCGTAGTCCAGGGACATCTGAGACAGCGACGACTATCAATGCCAGCGATGCACTCAAAAAAGGCGAGCATATAAAGCGTCCAATGAATGCATTCATGGTATGGTCTCGCGTGGAAAGACGACGCATTTCCCAAGAAAATCCAAAAATGCACAACTCAGAGATAAGCAAGAAGCTGGGCATAATGTGGAAAACCCTGGGAGAAAGCGATAAACAACCGTATAAAGAGGAAGCCAAGCGCTTGCGGGCAAATCATATGAGTCAGCATCCCGATTATAAGTACAGACCAAGACGCCGACATAAGGCCGTAGAGAAGCAGAAGAAGACAGGGCCAGGCATTAATCCATTTGAAAAAGCTGGAATGACTGGAAATGGTTTCATTAATCTGAGGCATTCCAATGCTGTTAGCACCGAAACTACGGTTTACAGATCATTTAATGCCACAAATACTCCTTCTCCCCTCAATTTCTTCAATCATCCGAATAGGTTTCAACAGCATTACCAAGCTCCATATAATCTTCATCAGTTCCCTCAAAATCCTTATGATGAATATAACCGAAACAGCAGGCAAACGTATGAGGGGACCTATAATTCCGCCCAGTCTGGTTACTCTAGCACGATCCCTTCAACCGCAGCTGCTACCTCTGCTCCGGCATCATTTTACCCACCAGGCTATCATCACACAACCGAAAATGACAATAAGACGGAGATGAATCCGTCTCACTTTTCCGTAGCGCCGGCCGCGGCTAGGTTTGCCAGTAGGGGTGCAGGAGACTATTCCTTGCAATCTTTTTGGAAAGAGAAGTTGCAATCCACCACTGAAACAACTCAAAACATTGGACAAATCCCAAATACATGGAGACAAACTCTAGATCCCTCAAATGAGGCTCTTGGTATTTATGTTGGAAACTTACTTGCCCAGGGATCCTATCAACAAGATACGGAGACATCTTCAGCATCATCATCATCGGGGCATGATTATCAGCACCAGCGGCGATCTCTAAACCCACTTCTAGCAACCGGCCAACATATAATCCCCCAATCGACTATCCCCCCACAGCCTTCTTCTGCAACACTTGCGAATGAGATTCAAGGCGATTCCTTGTATCCGGGGTTCACAAATATGGTAGTTGCTCCGCCTTCAAGAGATAGTGCAGTTAATGGGTTGAGGAGTGTCTACTCCCCAAGTCATTCATTTTAACTAAATCGGGTAGACAAGGTCTATAAAGCTCCTTCCCTGCCCCACCCCCACCCTCCACCCTCAAGCCCCTTCCTCCTTTCAAACTCCATCACATGCACTATCTCCTTCCCAAAAGTACATTTACCTCTCGTCGAGGTTGTCTTTCTAAAGTAACTCCTTGAAAAATGACATATTTAAACATTCTTCATCCTGTTAGCAGCCGATGAACAGTTTTGATGTATACTCGTTCTTAATTCTGTGATTTGCAGGTTATGCAAGTCTGTAAGTTTATCATCACTTACTAACGATATATTATACTTTACTAAATGTGAAATTTTGTCCTTTTACTAGCTTTGGTTATTTACTAAATTCGCCCTTTACTCTATGAGAACAGCTTTTTACGTTAGAGTAAGAAAGTCGCAATTAGCAAGCCTTCTCATCTTTCTATTACCGAGACAGGTGTGGACATATTGTCAAGTCATCAATCCAAGATGGTTAGTCGAGATTCTCCACCTTACTTTCGCCCAAGAGTGGACTACTTTGCAATTGGGAAGGGGGGAGGGCGGGGATGGGGTGGGGGACGAGAGAAGAAAATAACGATTCTACAAGATTTGGTTTTGCTACATTATACTTTAACATGAAAAGTGATGCAAGCTGAGAAAAAAATTGAATGGTTGAATGAGCACTGCGGACTTAAATGCAGATAAAATTTAAGTATTTCTAAAATATGTTGAAAAAATCGAGTAAAATCGAAATGCTAGAAGGTGATCTTGAGGGCAAAATTAGCAATTGCTCTCCTCGATTTACTAAAATCGATTCGAAATCAGATTGTAGAAAGGAAGAGGTAAGCGAAAAAAATTGTCGACAGCGTGCCATTGGTTATCTGTAGAAATTGATGCATCATGATGAAATGATCAATTTCTCAATCAATTTAACAGATCTTTCAACCGGAGGAGAGGTATGAGATAATACATCGAACAAATTCTAACGCTTGAAGTTAGCTAACCATGCTGCAACGAAATATTCCTATTTGACGAATGAAGAATTCATTAATAAATCACTGATATAGTCGAAATAAGGCCAACTAAATACTCCTTTTGAGCTGCTCTACTGTTAATCTCGATTGTTTGCTTGCCCTAATGTACTTCGTTTAACCACGACAGATAAGTTGTACTATGACAATGGAGATTCATATAGAGATGTCTAGAGAGACGAGGGGTTGGGATGGAATGGAAACTAGCGAGGCCGATGGATCACCAAATGGGTGAAGAGTTTAGAAGTGGACTAGCTGTTGTCAGGTTAAACTGACTCAGTGATCGAATGCCTTGTGATGTTTTCAATAAGGTAAAATAATGGTTGCAGTGGCGTCTAAGATGCTGAAAAGGAGACAGTGGGGTCGAGTTGACTCAGGCTAAGTACCTACAGAGAGTTAGTTCAGTTGGAAGTGGTCTGTGATAAAAATTCCTAAGAAATAAAAGAAATGTAAAAAACTGATAAGAAATTGAGATTGAAATTAAGTTTTGGGAAATCTACAAAGTTCGGGGTATCTAATAATAAGCAAATTATCTTCCTTATTGTTTACTGATGTTATATACAGGTTTTGAGTTGAGATTTCAAGAACTCGACCGTTAGATTAAGCAGATGGCGACTTCCTGTGGCATTTGCTAGAATTGGTAATGATGACTTTACGAGTGACTCCTTCTTTTAACAACTTCGGGCATTCCTCTCAAGAGTCTAAGCACCTGGTGAAATGGGATATTTCCCCATTGAAAGAATTTATGGCAAAATCCCCAAAGAAATGTTTGAAAGCAGCAAATAACCACATCGATCTTTCTTTTTCAAGTCATACTTCCATTAATAAAACATCTTAAATTTTCTTCCTACACCAGAATGTAGACTTAATTGAAAATCAATATGGCCAGCAAAGTACTTTCTATTAATTCACCACTAGGATATTCTAATAATAAATAAATAAAGTTATATTTGACTGGAAAGCGAAAGCAGAGCCTAAAGGACTACAATTTGCTTATCGATCGTCGCAAGCACGTGTTCCTTATCGCGGCATCTTTGCCAGAAGATAAGACTCGCAAGAGGGTATTGGGTTTGAGGTTAGAGGAAGAGAGAGAGGGAGTGGAGAGGGGGGGGTGTTGTGAAGGTCGTGATTGCTCGAGGAACCTGTAAAGAAGTGACATTGCGCTCTCCTATTTCCCTATCTGTCTTTCACTCATTAGGGCACAAACGTGCAGGACCAAAAAGAGGTGACCTGTCATTATTGGTGGAGGATTGTCCAGGTCATTGGAAATTTCAATTGACGGGAAAAGCCTAGAAAATAATAAATAATATTCAATCTTGTCTTGCTTATTGACAAAAATATATAAATACATGAATAAAGTAGATTTTAGACCCTTTAACATTTATCAATCTAGGAATATTAATGCTTTTATTATTAATTACGACTGATTTATACCAAAGATATAATTTGTAAATTTCTAGTAAAGCAACAGATTTTGAAAAGGGTCTAGTATACTTAATTTTCGAAAAAATTTAAAATGTATATTCACCTTATTTGATGGTATTATAATTAGACCGTAAATTTCTAGACTTGTTAAAAGCCACAAGTAAGTTCTAAGGATCCGACGATATATTCTCAAAAAAATTTCGACTAATTAATGGATACAATTTATTTCTGTGATTAGTGACTTGAACAAAATTATTTATACCGATCTGTTTTCACTATAAATCGAAAACTTAAACAAGACAGATTCAAATTCAAAGGAAAAGTAATTAATTCTTAGGGAAAAAATTTTGTATGCACTTGGGTAAGACTGTCAATGATATTCAGAAACGTATTAAACTTGTCTTTAAACGTATTGTAGCACATTTCCCCGCAGAAATCGTCACCGAATTGGCAAACCTGTGCGCCTAACTTTTCGGAAGTCGTAGGAACAATGCATAACCAACCGCCCTGACTAATTATTTTTAGCACGAGGTTTGATGGAAAGCGATTTTCTCATGAGAGTGGATCTAAGGTACCTCTGCTCTACTCAAGTTAGTTGCTGTAAAATTTCTCATGTGTGTGTGTGCTGGTGACGCAATGGTTAATGCGCCCGACCGCAAAATCACTAACCGTGGGTTCAAATCCTAACGATGTACATCCAATCAGCGGAATATCCAACCCCACCGAAAGAGGCCCGGTGATGAGACCCCTAGCTCAAGATGGCCTTTGAAAAAACGCATTTTTTAAATAGGTCCTCGGAATGGTTTATTGCTACCAGCTTTCAGCAGCGGACTTGACACATTTTGACCAACCTCATGGATCATTGGCTCAATGATAGTGTTTGAGGCCAGGGAATCGACGCTCTTTATTTCAGATTGAATAACGAGGACATAATTAACTCCGATCAAATAGAGGTGTGACGGAAAATGAACTTCTCATTTTGGTGAACTTATGATGGATTCTTTTTATCGAGTATTGTCAACACTTACTTCACTGGGTATGGAAGAAAAATTTTTTTAAAAGGTGGCTTTTAAATTGTTTATAAACGAATATAGTATTCTTAATTAACCACTCAAGTTAATTAGGCACGCGTCGGCTTGTTTATTTCTTTACAATCACTTTACGTTATTCATAAGTGTATTCAAACAACTCCCATGGATAGGAGATGTTCTGTTTATTTATTGAAATAGCAAAAGAAGGGCTGATATTAATGCTATTTTGTGATTAACTGGAAAGTATAGTACTATACTATAGTACTAAAATGCATACTAATAAAGTGCATTCGAGGTCATTAGGTCAGTACTCAATGTTGCTCCCTTTTTGATGTCGACGATATTACTAACGGTCAACAAGTGGAGTGATAAAGTCAAGTTTCTCACAACTGCGCCTTCAATTAAAACCATTTTCTTAAAGGTTCTGTTAAGTATTTGATTGACGGGAGTGATTAACTCATTTTTTTAGGGAAACAGCAACTTCAGCTATTCACTTCAATTAATTTGGTACATGATGGATGATTAACTCGTTTCAAATCGCTGATCTCATAATCAGTTAGATTTGTAAATAAATAGAGCTTTTTAAATTGATACAATAACTCTTTTTAACTTATTGTAAAAAGAATTATTAATTAGGTCCCGGAAATAATTTTCCCCAAGTTTTTATTTAGGCAAATTGATTGAAATCGGGAATAAAAATTTCACCATGGTGCAAAATTTGAACTTGTATGGCACATTTCTAGTAAAAAAAATCATTTAAATATTTTATATTGGCGGATGGTGTTCGTTTAGCCAAAGGAGAGGTTTAGGATTGTAATTTATTATATAATCAAATCCGCATTTTATCACAAACTTCGATTTAATCAAAATTGCCGATAGGAGTTTGTATGAAAAGAATGAATTGGGCAAGAAAATGTGTAAAAATGATTTTGGCAATAGTTGAAACGAAATGAAATAACTCTTTTACGTATGAAAAGTAATGACATTTGAAATTCGCTTAAAATTTTCATTCCTCTCAGATATAAATCTTTATTATGTGCTCATATTTAAATCCAATGCGTTCATTTGAAGATTAGTGAGCTGTAAATAAGGCCAACTGTGGGTTTAATTTCATACTCTCGTTTATGTTTTGACACACCTCATAATTTTTGAAAGCTTGCAAGGTGGGTGGTAACATCAGTTCCCCTTCTTCCATACAATCGGGTGGAGTGTTGGCGTCACTGATATTCCCACAACAACGTAAATTAGCTCTTTTTTTGAAAGTATTCGTCAGTTATCACAAATGACCACTCTATCGGCATTAAATACGAATTTGATGAAAAGACTGCACTCTGCATTAAATTAATTAGCAATAACTTGAAGGGAGAGAAGGCATCTTGGAACAGACATGCATAAATTTTACTAGACTTCTTTTTATGATGGAATCGTCAGATTTACCCCCCCCCCCACCCGAATACCATTTGGTATGCATAAACAGAAGCTTATTGCTCCATATTAAATAAAAGTCAAGGAACAGCAAAACAGTCATTAAA